TTTCCTTTTAGGCAGAGGTTACAGAGGCAGTGTCCCACATATCAGTATCGGCACCATCACCAGTATTACCAACTGTATCTTCAGAAGAACGCAAGGAACGGTGGGAACAGGGCCAAGCTGACTATATGGGAGCGGATTCCTTTGACAACATCAAGAAGAAACTTGATACTTACCTTCAGTAGAAATGCCTGTCTCAAACAGTGGTGATGCAAGGACTTGTTCCAGAACTAACAGCTAGAAAGGTGTAGATGGTGGTCAGTTACACTTGCTAGTAGCTTGATGAAAAACTTCTTGGCTGAAGGCCTCTGCAGTGCTACAGATGAAGACTGAGCAAAAGCTAGGAAGCAGAATTCCTTGGGCCACCTATAACTGCCCAATTTCCAATTCTCCCTACTAGATAAAACCAGGTATTTTCAGCTTAAATTTTCTTCTGTTGTCATCAATTGGCTCAACATATTCCTTGAAACTGGGTTTGTTACCTCACCTCATTAAGGTGATTAGCATTGATTCCTTTGCTTGCTGTTTTAGATGCGAAATCTAGTTCATGAGATTGCTCATACACTAGAGTGGTAGCCATTCTGCTTTATCATAAATGTATTAATGACACTGGGATACATACAGATGTAACAGTAATAGCACTGCTTTGCTCTTCCAGTCACAATTGCACTGAAGTTTTGACCAGGTTCTTACGCACAGTGCCTACAGCATGGCAGAATGCATTTTTCAGTTCTGTATACTATGGGACTAGTAAACTGAGTTTTATCTGTTACTTGCAATGTTGCACTTGATACAAAAATAAAAAGTTGTCATGCATTTCTGGCTTCCCTAAACTCTTGAGCAATTTAAAAAAAAAAAAAAAGGGAGCTCTGAAGTAGTCTAACTACAATATTCAACAGGTATAACCCTTACGCTTTGCTAATGCTACTCTAGCTACCATTAGCAAATGTCCAGCTTCTAGTTCTGTAACTATTTACAAAGTATACAGCTGTTTAGGGCCAATACCCTTATTAGCTTGCCCTAAGTATAGGACAGGGCAGTGGAGGAAGTACCTGCTGAAGCTACTCACACAAGCAACAGAGCTTGGAAAGAGGGAATTTTTCTTTTGGTGACTAAAGAAGCATCATCCCTAATGTAAGCCCTGTACACTGTGAACTTGTTTCTAAACACAATGGTGATGCTATTTTGGCAAAGAAAGACTAAACAGCTGCTTAAGTAACTGTACCTACCCTGATTAGAAAAAATACTCTT